TTTTTAGCCTTTAGAGTAAATCCGGCTTCCTTGATTCTCCTCAAAACCTGACGAAGATGCTCCAAGTGCTGCCCCCAGGTTTGAGAAAAACAGCCACATTATCTAAGTTTGATACACCAAACTCTTCCAGCCCCCTTAAAAGTTTGTTGATAGATCTCTGGAAGGTTGCCGGGGCATTTCTGAGCTCAAATGGAAGTACATTAAACTCATACAGCCCTTTATGAGTCACGAAGTCAGACCATTCCTTGGCCTGCTTGTCAAGCTCAAGCTGCCAGTAACCTCGGGTGAGGTCCAAGGTTGAAATATACTTCGCTGGGGCCAGTTGGTCAAGCAAGTCGTCTATGTGAGGCATAGGGTATCGATCGGGCCTTGTTATCTTGTTGAGCCTTCGGTAGTCAACGCAAAACCGAATCTCCCCATTCGGCTTGCTCACTAGCACTACTGGCGAGGCCCAGGCACTTTCGAAAGGCCTGATGATCCCTGCTGCTAGCATTTCTTTCAGCTCCTTCTCGATAGCTTGCCGCTGGGTTTGGGGAACTCTGTGAGCTCTCTCAGGTGGCTCATCTCCTGTGAATATGGAGTGTTTTGCGATAGCAGAGCAACCTGGTTGAGCGGAGAATTGGTCTGCAAACTCACCACACAGTCGTCTAGCCTCTTTGTGTTGGACTTTAGCTAGTAAGGGCGAGTAGGTGAGCTCTTCAACTCCACCATCACAGGTACTTCCCCTACACATGTCCTCAGGACTCCCAAACTCCTCTGTCAGCTCTGGGATAAGATGACAAGCAATAACTTCATGAGAATGGTAGGGCTTTAAGGAATTTGCATAATAAGCCCGGGGAGGAAGGTCTGTGTCTTGTGACTGGACCATGTATTTCACCTCCCCCATGCGGTCCTTGATCTGGAAGGGTCCCTCCCAGGAAGCCTCCATTTTATTGCTTTTTATAGGCTTCAACACCATAAATAAGTCACCAGGTTAGTAAACCCACTCCCTTGCTTTCTTATCATACCAAATCTTCTGCTTGTGTTGGGCTTCTCGCAGCTGATCATGGGCCAGAGTTAAAGCTTCCCTTAGATGGTTCTGAAGCTTGTCCACAAAGTCCAAAATATTAGTCCCTGGGGAAGGTATAGACCCTTTCCATTGGTTTTTCACCAATTCCAGAGGTCCACGGGCTTCCCTCCCATAGACCAGTTCAAAAGGGGAGAATCCCAAGCTGGGGTGTGGATTTGTGGCAAAGCTAAGTCCCAGTTGTTAGAATGGGTGGTTACAAACTTCTTAATCATCTCCCGGAGGGTCCCATTGAACCTTTCCACCAACCCATTGGATTGAAGATGATAGGGGAGAGTCATTAAGTGTTGCACCCCATGGCTACTCCACAGCTTCTCCATCACCCCCAAAAGGAGATTGGTCCCCACATCTGTCTATGTGGGGCCACCCCACCCACACAAATACATCTGCCAAGGCTTGGCAAACCGTGTTGGTGACAATATGGCTAAGAGCCACAGCTTCCGGCCAACGAGTTGCAAAGTCTACAATAGTCAATACGTATTGCTTCCCCCTTGGGGTTTTATTTGTCAAGGGCCCCAACACATCAACAGTCATTCTTTGGAAAGGGGTGTCAATCACAGGTAGAGGCTGAAGTGGGGCTTCACTCTTCTTGAGAGCATTCCCCACAGTCTGGCATACCTCACAGGACTGGACAAACCTGGCAATGTCTTTGCCCATCCCTTTCCAATAAAACCGTTGTCTCAGCTGATCCTTGGTTCTTCTCACTCTCGCATGTCTGTCAGGGTGATCATGGGCCAAGCTCATGAGTCGGAGACAATGTTGGACCGGTACCACCAGCTGACGATGCAGCTTTATAGCTAAGCGGTACCTGTCACGGCAGGACCAGGGGGCGTGACGCAAGCAAGCCAAAGTCCAGGAACAGTCCGAGGTCAAGCCGAGCAAATCAGGTAGCAAGGTTCAAACAGGTTTAAATCACAATCCAAAAGCAGGGTCAGACATACCAAGGTTTCAAGTCCATAAATCACAATGATACCAGAGGAGTCAGAGATGAACGAAGGTCAACGAAGCCGAGGGTCAAAAGCCGAGGATCAAGCCGATAAGAATTTCACAAGATCTGGAGCAGAGATGCAAGGATTCAGGTCCTGACAAACAACATTTGCCAGCACAAATGACTGCTGGCAACAGACTTGCAGATATACAGTGCTAGCTAATCAACTCATTAGCTAGCCGGGAGCGAGGTCAGGATCCTGTCAATATTCAGGGCTGAGAGCTCTTCTGGCACGCATGCGTGCATTCTGCCTTCGCTCTCTCAGCTGCTGTCTCCTTACATTCCAGAGCCTGGTTACAGGTGGGGGCGAGTCTGATGATGAATTACTGGGCTGCAGCAGAGACTGATCCCTTGCAGGTGTTCCCTGGGAGGCTCTATCCTCCTCACCACTTAGATAGCTTTCAGCTACAGGATCCAGTCTTTGCCTTTCTGCTGCAGTACTGTCCTCAGGAGCCTGTAAGTCCACAGGCTCCTGGCTGGCAGGTGCCTCCTCAGGGGCATCAGCAAGGGCAGGCATAGCATCAGCAGGGGCAGGCATGACAGTACCTGGGCCACTGGCAGCACAATCCCTACAGCTTCATGCAGGCACTTCACCTGCCTTTTTTCTCCCGTGATGAGGTACTTGGGATCTGTGAGAGAGCAATGCACTGTAGTTAGGAGATAAGCAGTATCTCTCCAAGCAGTGACTTCATGGCCATCCACCATGATCTTCACTCGGTGGCACTGGGGAATGTACTCAGCATCAAATGCAAGTGAATTGTTCTGGGGCCTCTCTGGGATCATGTGGTGCATGCTGGTCCCCGCCTTGGGGTACTTATTCCAAAAGTGGCCCAACTGGTTGCATGAGAAGCACCATGGTGCTTTCTTCTCCACCGTTGGTGACTTCCCATCAGCACTCGGGGGGACAGGTTTCTGCTCCTGAGATGGCTGTCCTTTTACTTCCAGCTGCTTTCTGGGCTGGGGAGGGGACTTAGGGAACTCCTTCTTATGCCAGTCCCGATTAGTGTGGTACCTGTGCCCTCCATAGGCTTCAGCCAGTTGCTCCGCCCACTGTCCTGCTTCTCAAAGGGTAGATGGGCTCTTGTCCACCAAGGGGCACCTAATGTACTCAGGAAGATGAGTCAGGAACAGGTCAATGCACATCAGGGCCTTGATGTCAGCCAGGATCTTGACATCAGCGACCTCCACCCACAAGTCATAGGCTTTTCCCAGTCTGTGTATTAACTGTGGGTAATACTTTTTTCCTTCAAGTCCGAACTCTCTAAAGCGCTTCCGAGCCCCTTCATTGGTGAAACACTCTCCGAACAGCTTGGAGTCTGTTCTCTCTCCACCCTCCATCTGCCCAGACACTTAAGCTAGGACACCACTCAACTGCGGTCTCAGCTTTTCCATGTACAGCTCTGAGGGGACCTTGTAATCGATACAGACTTGTTCAAAATTCTGAAGGAAGGCCTCAGTGTCTTCCCTTTCCCTGAGCCAGGGGTACTTCCAACGGTCCTCTCTCACTGTGGCATCTGGAGGAGGTTGGCCCCTTTCCAAGGTTAGCCATCTCAAGCTCATGCGCCAGCCTCATTTTCTCTCACTCTAATTCCATCCTAGCTGCAGTCTCCTCTTTCTGCCTTTCTCTTTCCATCTCCATCCTAGCTACAGTCTAGGGTTGCCAAGTCAAAATATCTTACCGGCGGGGAAGCCTTGCCGGGCTCCGGGAGCCGTCCTTTATCGCACCGCCAGCACAGAAAGTGACGCACGATGTCGATCACGTTGAAGGCGTGGCCCCGATCATCGGAGGGAAAACCATAGAGTTTTCCCTCCGACGATCGGGGCCACGCCCCCAACGTGATTGACGTGGTTGTGTCACCTCCGGTGACGCAGCCACGCTGCGCTTTGGGGGGTGGAGTTCCCCCTGGGGCCCAATTCCGCAGCAGTGGAAATCGGGCGTCTGAAGCAGGGGTTTACCCGCCACCCGCCCCCACTTGGCAGCCCTATTGCAGCCTCTCTCTCTTCTTTCTGCAGCCTTGCTTTCTCTAACTCAAGGTCTGCCTGTTTAAGTTGCAGCTGGAGACGTAAGGTCTCTTCACTCAGGGATGTCATTGCTTTCTCTGATGTGTCCTCCACTGACATGAGACTTGCAGCCCCCGTTCGGGTCTTGCGTCTAGCAACAGGCAGCTAGAACATAAACAAAAACCCTTTCACCACACCTTATCAGATCCTTACTTGGTCTTGCAAGCACCTTCGGATAATGCGCTTCCTTAAGCCCAAAAGCAAAAAAATAAAAATAAAAATAATTCCAAGGCCAAATAGTACTCTACCTCACCAGGGTTCAAAATTAGTCCATCCCACCGCTACACCCACCATGTCATGGCTCAGATGGAGTGTCACCTGACGCTGCCAGCGCTCTGGTTCCAGGCTCTTCTGAGAAGGCCCAGAGCACCCTCCCAAGCCTTTAGACCTCCCTTTTAGCTGAAATAAGCATGACCACCAGGCAGAGTGAACAATGAAAATGGTTTATTTTATAGGAGGTCAAACAAACAAGGTGCAGAAATAATAACAGTAAGTGGGTGAAAAGAAAAGAAATCCTCCCACTGCTAGCCAGGCTTCCTGGGCCTGCTAGGCCTTGCTTGCACAGCCCAGATCATGACACCCCCCAAACTGTTAAGGTCCACTTTCCCATCTCTGTTGGCTCTTGACTCAGTACCAAGATTTTTGATTTCAGGAGCTGGCAATTCTACATGTAGCGAATGCTGTGATATTTGAACAGGCATCTGGTAATCAAAAGCATAATCCAGCTAATATCTGTTGCTTCTCCCTTGGTTTTCTCTAATCATTTTTTTCACATGGTCCGAATCAGTGGCCACTACAGCATATTGTGGCAATGAGTTCTGTAGGTTGTTTTCAAACTGTTTCTACTGCCACCACCACCAGAGTAAAATAATTTTGACAACAAGATAAAACTGGGATTTACTTTATTGTAACAATATGCAGCAACAAAATCAACAGGCATCTTTGAAGTTTAACTACAGGCATCACAGGGGAGAATATTTTTTATTAAATCCTTTAATCAGAATTTTCTAAAGCAGCTAAATATAATAGTCGCTTCCTCTTTGTCCTATGCCCTACATAGTGCAAAGAAATCCTTGTAAATAATTCCCAAAATCAACATCCTTCAGTCCATGGAAGGGTGCTGTGAAGCAAAAAAAAAAGGGGGGGGGAACACCTTTTCTTTACAAAATATTCATGTGCCATGGCAGTTATATACAAAAAAAGAAAAGACTTATAAAATGTACGAAAAGTTCTGTTTTGCACCCGTGTATAAAAGTGTCTTTGTGCAAGTTTTCTTTCTGAATTGCCAAGAATCTCACACTCCAAATGGCTCTTCGTCAGCTGGGGTCTTGCCCTGCTTGCTTGGGCATTCTGTCTGGGGTTTCCCATCCCCCACCCCAATATCATCGCCATCATCACTATCACCACCATCACCATTCCTGGATTCTCGTGGTCTGTACATGGGGAATTTCCTCTTCCTTCATGAAATTCATTTTCCTGCTTTGTTATTGAGAACCTGGAAGAGGTAAAGAAAACATGTTCAGAGAATCTGATTCAGGACAGAAGGAAGGGTTAGGCTGCATTCAGAGATCACAATAAACACTGGTTTATTTAAAGCAGGGGTTCCCAACATGGTGCCTGTGGGTGCTGTGGTGCCTGCCAACACCTTTCCTGGTGTCTGCCAAATGCTTTTAGAAAGTGGGCGGGACAGGTTGGACTTTTGCCCAGCAAGGCTGCTGATTGGCTAATGGAGACTTGAATTACTGTGCAGATTTTTAAAGATGCTGCTTTGGCAGCAGCTGCTACCAGAGCACAAGGATCTCTTCACTGTGTGACTGAAGGTAAGCTGTGGCAGCCATTTTATGGTTGAGTCCGCCTCCTGCAGCAGCCACTTTTTGCAGCCATTTTGTGGCTGCACCCACTATACTGTGTTATAATTCCAAAGGTGCCCTCAGGCTCAAAAAGGTTGGGGACCCCGGGTTTAAAGCATAGTTTGTGCAACACATTCTAGTTCAGTCTATCAGATTCAACAATCAAATCCCAGTTTCTGCAAAGCCCCAGTGTGTGTAGCAGTTACAAAAAGTATGGATTTACTTTTTCCCCTAAGTAAAGAAACCTTAAATTGCTGCTCAACCGTCAAATCCATCTGTGAGAATCAATAAAACAGCCTAAATATTTGTTGGGCCTGCTGAAACTAGTTTCATTAAGAAAAATTAGCATATTGTGACTTGATAACATAACAAGAGCAACTTTGGGGCTTTGGGGTCAGTGGTTCATCTTCCTCAGTATCCTCTCTCTGAAAATGGCCAGCTCTAAGATGCTTGGTGGAAGCATCTGTGAAAGTACGGGGAAAAACAGGCCACTGTGCTTCCTGTTGAACCATTATGTATATGCCATGGGGATGCCACCAAAAATTTTATCCCTGTGACATGACATTATCACCTTGTCAATTTTTCTGATTCTACCAGCTGGCAGCTATTGATGTGGAGTGGCAAAGAAGAATCTCACAATGTGATGATGTTGTATCACAAAAAAAAATTATCCTATGCATTACAGAAGGAGACTGGGAGAACCAGACACAGGGATGCCCTTTTCCATGGCACCCCTATGGTGTGTTCAGACTGATTTTTCAGAAAGCATGTGGATGATTAGGTTGCTTCCATGTGAAGTTCTTGTTCCACGTCTCCTCCCTCAAACTGCAGAAGATTTAATTTTGGCTTCTGAAACAGTGTTGCACTTCCTCCAACCTTCCAGGTTTTCCCAAACCAGCTTTCATACATTTTTTCTCAGAAGATCATAACCAAAGCAGGTTTGGGAACATGTGGAAAGGAAGGGGCAGATTTCTGCACCTCTCCACCCACATCGTGCCACATCCAGCCCAATTTCCCCTGCTACCCACTGTCCCACCCCAGCATCCCACTGCCAGAGGGCTTTTTGCCATTCTTTAAAAAAGTATCAGTAGTGTCAACTGACTACCAATCTTCTATAAAAGAAAGTCCCCTCACCATAAAATCAACGCCCAGGCCAAACCCCTGGACCTAGAAACATGAAATTCTGTGAGAGCACTCCTACATTGATGTAGATGCTCACTAAGAAGGGATTTTTAGAAATTCGACCCCTAAGGGGGTCAAAGCGGGTAAAATATGCTCCCCCATTGCTTCCTATGTGGCTGCCAGCCTGCTGCCTCCTTGCACCCCCCACTCTCTGATTGGTCAGCTGCAGAGCTCAGGGTTCTGAGGTAAAAAAAAACAGTTACAGGAGACTGCAGAGAGCTAATGACACTTGAGGAAATCAGGAATGGCCAACCACCTGTGAGGTGCAGCAGTGCTGCTGGCTCAGCTTCCCTGATGCATTCAAACATGCTCCCCCACCTCCTACACCTGACAGATGGCTGTCTGTCAAGTGCAGCTGCGGGTTCAGGGTGCTTAAAGCCATCAGAGAGCCCACCCCAACAGCAATCCTGCCAGCCCAGCCTCTAAAATAGCTTGCAATACCTGTCCCCTCCCTCTCCCAAACTAGACAGACAGCTGCCTGTCAGGTGTAGAAGAGGGACTGGGATGCTTACAGCCATCAGGGAGGCTTGCTCAGCAGGTTTGTCTTAGTGCTGCTGCTGGCCCAGCCTTCCCAATACCTTTAAACATGCTCCCCCCATCACCAGACAGGCAGGTATCTGTCAGGTGCAGGAGCAGGGCCAGGGTACTTTAATCCATCAGGGAGGCTGCCCAAGCAGAAACACCTTAGCAGTGCTGCTGGGCCAGCCTCTCCAATGGCTTTGGACACACTCCCACCCACCCCTCCTCCACCTGACAGGCGGTTCTCGCTCAGGAGCAGGAGCAGGGGCATAGCATCGAAAGCCATCAGGGAGGCTGCCCAAGCAGCATCGCCTTAGCAGTCCTGCTGGCCTAACCTCCTCGATGCCTTCAGACACACTACCCCTCCTTTACCTGACAGTCAACTACCTGTCAAGGGTTGGAAGGGGCATGGAGTCCTTAAAACTGTTGGGGAGGCTTGCTCAGCAGGATTGCCTTAGCACTACTGTTGGCCCAGCCTCCCTGATGCCTATAAACACAATCCCCCCTTACACCAGACAGGTGGGTGTTTGTCAAGTGTAGGAGCAGGGCTAGGGTACTTTAATCTATTAGGGAAGCCGCCCCAGCAGGATCATTTTAGCAGTGCTGCTGGCCCAGCCTCCCCAGTGGCTCAAGCCACACTCCCACCCACTATGGAAATATACCCCAAATTTGTAGAAAAGTGGTATCCTGTATTAGGTTATTTAATTTCTCACAATTGGGTTCTAGAAAATTGGTTCATATGAACTTGCTTAATATGTAATTGCTTGAATGTTGTTTTGAATATGTAGCTATGCCCCACTTCTTAAATGGAACATAAATGAGAAGCATTTTTGTAAAAAAAAATGCCCAGGCCAAACCCCTGCTGCACCAAGAAACCCAAAATAAAGGGAGTGCATTCCTACCATGATGTCAACCCCCACTATGAAGAAAAACCCCTTCAAGAGGCTGCAGTTCCCCCTCAAGGTCTGCTTTACTGTGACCACCCCAAGGCCAGCTACTGAAGGTGGCAGGAATTGACTTAATAGACGACTGCTTCTCACATGGACAGTTCTGTGTGGCCTGCTCCAGAGTGAGCTCACCAAGCAGCCTGGTGATCTTAGCACCTTAGGGCAGAACTACCAGGGGAATTTCACATTACCCTTTTTAAGCCATTTTTAAGCCATTATTGTGCCATCTTGGAGTAAACCGGTACAGGGCTATCATTTCACACAGCCTTTCCCCTACCAGTAAGGAGCTGTCTCTGAAACAGTTTGGCATTTCAGACTGCACCGCTATGATTTCCCACCCTTTTTCGCCCATGCGGGCGATCTCTGTCCTTTTTTAAAAAACGTTCATTTTAGAGTGCTATACCATTATAGCGCTATAACACAACAACCAAAACAGCGTAATCCAGCTCTGTGCCAGTCACTTCCCAGCCAATCACCTCTTGGCATGGATGGATGCACAGCAGGTTGGGTCAGCAACATCTGTCTCACCAATCACTGATGCCCTGATCTCCCGTCTAAACCTGCTGTCCAATGGGCATCTTCTCCCCAGCTGACAACCTGACAACCCATCACCTTCCCCTGACTCACAGTGGGCATGGATGGGTTAGCAACATCTGTCACACCAATCACTGATGCCCTGATTTCCCACCAAAACCTGCTGTCCAATGAGGTACTTGTTTCCAGGTGGCAGATGTAGCCATCTCATGTATCCCAGTGGAGTCCAGGCATTCCAATAGGGTTGCTATTGCGCTGTTTTGGTGTTGTGTTATAGTGCTATAGTGGAGATTGCCCGCGCGGGTGAATAAGGGCGGGAAAACAAAGCGGCGCGGGAGGAAGTGCTACAGGGCATTTTACACAGCACCCTGTAGCGCTTCAGAAACGGTATAGAAAAGTGAAGACCACTTGGAAGCAGTTTGCAGGTAAAACGGTTCAGAAACGCTTCCCTAACGGGACAGAAGCATTTCTGTCTGAAAGTGAAAATATATTCCGGTAGGGAACTGTTCCTAAAACGGTTCTGTCTGAAATGTCAGACCAGAAACCGTTAGGGAACAGTTCCTAAACCAGAATATATAGGCTGTCTGAAATTCCCCCCCAATGTCTACAGAGAGGTCCTTCAGTAGAGGGAAAAGAAGGTACGTATGTCTCACTTCATTTTTTACACTACAGTCTTTTCCCTTAGAATTCCTACAACAAATGTTACATTTCAAATTTAACATCATCAATCGTATAATTGGATTTACGGAACTTAAACACTACAGTGAAGCACGGGTATCAGGCTAGTAATTAATAAAAAAACACAAGTGGTGGTGGGGATGGTGGGTGGTAGGGGAAAACATGGAGTACATCTCCACGTGGAAGCACTGTAGCTACTGCAAATGCGAATGAGCAGAATGAGCAATTGTCCCTGCAAGGAAGCAGCTTTAGATTTCACAAGCTTGTTACATACAGTTTCAGTTTATTAGGTTTAAAAGCCTATAGGCCATACATCATAAAAGTTAATTTTTAACTTTTAAAAAGTTTTTAAACATTTAAGAAGACAGTAGAACAGAAATGTGCCACATACCATCCATATCCCCAACTCCAGTATCTTCCTCTTCTGTTTCTTCTTCCTCATTTAGCTCTTCATTGTCATCACCTTCAAAGGAAAGGGGGGGGGGAAATTAACAAGTGAATCCCTTTGAGATTCCTATGTTCTAAAAAGGGGTCGCTTCTGGTTATTTTCACTCGGGAAGGTGTGTGTGTTTATGAACAAAACCCAGAAGGCACTTGCAGGTTCCTAGATAGACTTTAGTATTAAATGGAGCTTCCTCAATATTTAAAAAGCCTGCTTATGATTCTGCTGATAATTCATTATCTTGCTTTGAAAGACAAACATGTTTTCTTCCTGATGGCAGCAGCCTTCGCCGTAACACAAGAGAGTGTGGTAACTGCAGGACAGGGTTATGGACTTCTGCCACAGGGAAGACACGGAAGCAATGAATCTACTCCTAAAAATTGTCCTTTCTGTACTCCAGCATGAATTTTGACATATGGTAGCAGGTACTTCAGCCACTGATGATGTCAGAAACACCTAAGCACACTATTCTGTGTGTCTCTATGGTAGCCTGCTGGAGGAGAGGACTTCCCTGTTCTCCACTCTGCTTGAGGGCCACTGCTACAGATAGTCATGAAGTGGTATTACAGTTAGCAGATTCTCAGAGGGCAGGTGACTCCAAGGACCAACAGAGTTTCACCTTATCCTGCTGACTTTGTTCTGAACCTTCAGACTGAGCAACTTTTCCCTCAGTAACAAACTATGCTTTCACCAGGGGTCATTTCCTGCAGGATCGCACAGGAGTGGAGCTCCGGCAGTAAGGAGCCCAGGGGATGGGCATATGCAACAAGCCCCGCCCCCTGCTCCCAGCAGCCCTCAGTCAGGCCATGAGAGGCAAGAAGCAGCCAGGTAAATTGCAGAGCCCCCCCCCCAGCCCGCCTTCAGGTACAAGCTCCCTCCTCTGTGAGGGCAGATCTGCGTGTCCCCCCCCAATAGCTAGCAATCCAAAACAGTCCAGTGGCACCTTTAAGATCAAGTTTTATTCAGGTACAAGTTTTCCCTCCTCTGCGAGGGCAGATCTACACATTCCCCCCCCCCCATAGCTAGCAATCCAAAACAGTCTAGTGGAGTCTGAGCAGTGTGTGTTGCCTTCTGACACACTTCCGGTGATGTCAGGGGTGTGTGGCATATGCAAATAAGTTATGCTAATGAGTTATGCTAATGAGCTCCTGCTCCTCTTTTTCTACGAAATGACCCATGGCTTTCACACCATTTGTCCTAATTGTAGTTTTCCAGTCAAAATGGGAATAGTGATAGGTCAATTTTTCCCGCATTGACAGAAGGCAAAGTTGCCTCACCTGATTCAAAATCTATGGCTCTCACTGTTTCTGCGATGTGTTCTAGGTCAAGGGTGAAATAGTCCATGTTTTCAAAACCTGGTTCAATTTTCTCCAGTTGACCTCCTTTTGATGCCTCTACAATTCTGCAGGGGAAACAGAATGGGGAAAAGGGATCTTAATGCAGATTTCCAGAAATACAAGCCATTGTATGTTGTTCTAGAGCAAAAGAATGAAAGGCAGAAAATGGTATTCAGAAGGGGTCCCCTTCCCCATCAAACCTGGGCTGGAGGGGCTTGCCCTGTCCTAAATGGTTCCCTTTTTTGAGCTAGCCTTATTGGAGGTCAAACTTGGGCTTGCCAAGTCCCCCCGGGGGGCGGGAAAACCCCCGCCCCAGAGGCCCGTTCCCCGCCGCCGGTGGATCGGGCCCCGGGGGGGAACCCCACCCCGACGTGCAGGTCACCAGGAAGTGACGTTAGGACGCCGGGCACGCTGGGGGCGGGGCCACGACCATCGGAGGGAAAACTCTATGTTTTCCCCTCCGATGGTCGTGGCCCCGCCCCAGCGTGCCCAGCGTCCTTACGTCACTTCCGGGTGACGTGCGTGTGCGCGCTCCAGTAGCCGCACGGGAGTCCCCCGCTGCGGCTGAGAAACAACTTGGCAAGCCCAGTCAAAGTGGAAGCCACCCAAGATAGAGCAGTATGGGGCAGATCGCCTGCAGAAGTCAGTCTAGCTCAGTGATCCTGTAATGACTGGCCCAAGCCCTTCCCAGCAAGCTTCAGTGACAGAGAGGGGATTTGAGTCTGGGTCTCCAAAATCCTAGTCCAACACTCTCTTACCACTATGCCATGCTACCTGGCTGAGTTTCCAGGAGGTGGTGGTGGGAAGTGCTGACAAGTTGCCCTCGACCTATCATGGCCCCATAGGTTTTTCAAAGCAAGAGACGAATGGTGGTTTGCCATTGCCTGCCTCTGCATAGCAACTCTGGGTTTCCTTGGTGGTCTTCCGTCCAAATACTAACCAGGGCTGACCCTGCTGCTTATCTCCCCAAGATCTAACAACATCCAGATCAGGGCAAACATGGTGGATGTTTTGTTGAATTAGTGACAAGGACAAAAAGCAACAGATTGCAAAAACCAGTGATAGGGAAGGGGGAGGGGATTTTTGTAGGGCATCTCCCACAGTGAGGGAGCCTTGTTTCGTGCTGAGGACCATCTCAAAGAGCTCTCTAAAGTATGCTAAAGCCACACCACAATACAGGCTCCAATTTAGCTGGGGTCCTGGTCTATAACATACAGCGTAATGGTTCATCCAGCCCTGGCTTTCTGTTGAGTATTGCAGCTGGACAAAAAACTAGTGCACCCATTCAAACTTTAGTTTGTCAGTGGAGCCTTGTGTTTGAACTTTCAACCAGAGAGTGCTCACTTCAGCAGCACATATACTAAAATTGGAACACTACAGAGAACTTTCAACCAGAGAGAGGGATTCCCATTAGGAACTGGTGATCTGTTGAGAACAACCACAGTTTTATCTAAGTCATACAATACGGGGGGGGGGGGA